GTTACATAGGACGGAAAATGATGAGGTCTCGCTAATACACAAGATTATTTTCACTGGTACATCGACACAGGGCACACAATATTATTAAATATAACGTTTCATTCGCGAGCGTCGTGGTGACGCTATATCGTTTGATTGGATTGCACCTAATGCGGTTCGACCCCTAATGTTTTTTTTTATAAATAAATAGATTGTAGATCGACGGAAAATATCGCGAATCTCTTATTTTCCGTTGGCAGACTGCAGTGGCAGTATAAAGTCGACCGATTTAACTATTTAAACTGCGGTACAAACTTTGTCGTTTCGACCGCGGTATAATAATGGTAATAAATATTTTACTCTTATACTTGACCGCTTTTCACTGCCCGTTTATTTTTAGTGGACTGCAATCGTCATATTTTCATTTTTCCCTCGATCGGTCTTGTGAAAATTTGTCGCCGTCATCCAAGATGTACGTCGTTTAGTTCTAGATCCATAAATTCGTTTTTGTAACATCGCGACTTAGTACGAGGGCGTTTATATTAATGGTGTGTACCGTTTTAATGCAATGCAATTCCAGACAAACAAGTCATACATCTACGTATCTTTTTAGGCGGGATCTGAACTTCTGGTTTAAAGAAACTTGTTAGTTTCTCGAGGATTGCACGCCGTAAAGGTAACGCACGTAACCTATAATTATATTTTATATTGCCTTTATTATTCTTGAGTACACAACTAAATGTATTGGAAGTTGAAAGGAATTTACAGTTGTTCGAACACATCTGTGCTTTATAGCAACAGACGTTATTCAGATTAGTTATTGAATCAATTTAATTTTATAATTTATAGTTTATACTATAAGTATATTGATCATTATGTGTATAAAATGTAAGCACATTTTAGAACTCTGTAAGTAAAAAATGATAAAAAAAGTCTGTACCTACTTTAAAGTATTAAAATTGTATTAATACGAGTATAATAATTGAAGCCTTGAAATGCAGTGTAAGATGCCATTATAATATAATTTATTTTTTATTTAATTGATACATTTTATTTCGCATAAGTATGATTAAAAGAAATAAAATACGAAAAAACTAAATTCTTTTAGTCCTTAAAAAACAAAAATTGTTATTGAAAATAAAAATTGTCAATGGAGTATCGCTGTGAGGGTAATGTAGGTACCTACACAAATTATATTATGTTCAAATATTTAATATTATCATTCATCGACATTTGAAATAATATTTATTACCATAAACAATATTCTTATACCTAATTCTTATGATTACAAACGGCAAGTACCTACTAATAATTAGAAAGTATAACCAATATCAATAAAATTGTATTATTCTAATGTTATTTAAGTTTTAAAATTGTGACAACTTAAATATTGATAACAATAATCGTGATATTGTTAAATACAATAATATTATTTAAAAAAAACTATTTATCTGTATTTAAGTTTAATATTATATATTGCATTGTTAAATAACAGAACCTCCGGTGAAGAGATAGTGATTTAGGCAGCTAATGTGTGCTAAGTGTATAATACACTTATATATGTATATATGAAAACCATAGCAATTGCTTTGTATTATTTATAATTTAATAGTTTTATCTAAGGCTTGCATTTGAAAAAAAATATTTCGTTGTTCGTTATTTACAAATAAAACGTTATTCAACTTTTGCGTTTAATGTTATTCAGAGTTAAAATTTTTAGTGCCTATATATTTTATAATTTATAACTATTAAATTATTGGAAATCAATTATTTCTTTTTATGATATAGGTACTATTTATAACGTTTTGCGTTATTTTTTGTTTGATGATACATCGATATATTTTGTTAATCGTTATGTTTTGTTTCGTGTTATTTAATTATTTATGTTTATCGTTTTCTATTAAAATTACGTTTACAAATTTCAATCGCTTTTTGTCAAATATCATAATGTTATTATGACGTTTGCATTTTTGCAAACCCTGGTTTTATCTTAAAAATTAGGTACCTATATACAATTACGTTTATTTACAGTATTATAAATGTACAATGTAACTGACACGATGTTTAAAATAATTATTGTATACGATTAGTACTGTAGTAGGATGATTTTAACGTTTCGAATTATTGCTTTAAAGAGTATTTTGAGACTGTTAGATTTTTATTTCTAGTACCTTCTTACACAAAATATTATGCAACTATAACTGTAATTTTATTATTTACCGTCTAATTTATCATTAGTAAGACGTGAATCTGATTTTAATTTTTATACATCTAATTTTGTTAAAGTTGTATAAGATCATTATAAAATCAAACTTTATACATATAAAGTAGTTTATGTTGTTTATTAACTATGATTAAAGTTTGAATTATACGTAAAAACAATCTTTTCAAAAATATCAATTATTATTAAACCTGGAAGTAAAACGAAAAGAATGTTTATTGACCAATTCATAATCATTGTGGTAAACATAACAAGTCCTTAGTCCAATCATATTATTATCTAGTCAATACGTAGGTATATAAAATAGCTAATTAAAATACGAGTACCTATATACTATATAGTCAAAGGCGAGTATTAATTAGTTAGAAAGTTAATTTTTTTTTAACTTTTTAATTCAACTTATTAGTTTATTTTCTAATCAACTTATGAACTTGAGAAGTTTAATTGACAGTTGAAATAACTTAGCTTTTTGCAGTTGATATTGGAATTTTTTTAATGAAATAGGTACCTAATTAATTATAAATTGTATTGTTTTAATGTTTTATTACCTTCAATTGCTATATTATATGAAAAATTAATATTTGTTAAATTATTGATTTGAGATGTGTATATTTTAAATTAATAAATAATATATCATGCAATTTAAAAGGGTATTTACATTATATAATGTGCATGATGATAAAATTAAATAAAATTGTTTTTATTATTTAGTAAACTAGAAAGACATAGGTAGTCATTTTTTATGTGATTTACTTACTAATTAAAAAAAATAGATTGACTTTTTTTAAACTAAGTTAAGTTAGTATTTTTTTCTATATTATATGTTAACTTATTGAGTTAAATTTATAATTTGTTAACGATTAACTTCTAACTTAACTAAACTTGAATTAAATATTTTCATTAACTTGCACTACTAACACCTTTGTATAAAGGTACATATCAAATGCAATTGGCTGAAATGGCTAAATTATTCGATTTTATATGTACCTACCTTGAAATACAAACTAAGTAGGTAGGTACTTACCTATAGTACCTACCTATCTATGTCCAATATGGTTTTAATAAAAATTAAAATGATATTATAAACAAAATAATAATGTATGACATTTTTTCCTTGGTTAATGCTCTGATTAATTTTACTTATTTTCTTCATTACATTAATGCTCATGTTCTATTAATTAAAAAAAAAAAAAATCAAAACCTATGTTATTTGCTATTTATAGTTATAAACTTTTTTTATTATGTTACTGCTATTTTGCTAGAAATTATTTTTATTTGTCTGTGAATATTTTTGAAGACTCAACACCTTGGCTAAAATGTTGTATTCAACAAAAGGTAAGCATTTATTTTATAGTAGATGAAACAATTGAACTATAATTTATTATTTAATTAATTTTTTGTATAATAAAATAGGTACCTGTAGCTTGTATATTTAAATATAGGTAGATATATTACAGTTTATAGTAATATACCTACAAAGTATGTAATGTTGTATGTACATTGTATATATTTATATAGGTAAGTATATTTGGTATTATTTTATATGATTTTTCTATAGATGTATTGGTTTATACATTTTTATTCTCAGTCAAAATGCTTGAAATGTATTAGGTTTAACATTCTTTATAAGATGTTTTTATTGAAATAAATAAAAAAAAAACTTTCATGTAATATTTTCATTAATTTCTTATTTATAAAAAAAATTTTACATATCATCAAAATCATGAATTATTTTATAATTAATTTTATTAATACTTAAAAATAAAAAAAATAGGTCAAGATTACTCATAAGATTTTTTTACTACAACCAATAAATCAAATGTATTGTAAGGTTACATACATTTGAACATTTCTAATTAGTGTTTGAATTCAAAAATATGACAATGTAATAACTTACATATAAAATAACGAATTCTCTTTAAGTTGTGTTAGTAATTTTGCTTTAATTCAAAAAATATTAATTATAAAGTAAGACTGTTTATAAATTCCACTATTATAATAAATTATTTTATTTTATTTTCAATATGTTAAGTTAATCTTAAGCTTGAGTATTAAGATGTTTTTAGATATGTGTTTGAAATTTTAGAAGTGTATTTAAAAATTATTTTTTTGAATGATATTTTAAGTTAAAGTCGTAATATGTATGAATAATTAAGCTAATATTAACAATTTTAGTTATTTTGTTACAATTAAAAAAATATTATTCATAAGGAATTAAAACTTAAAATAAAATAAAAATACATTTTAATTTAAATTATTTGAATATCTTTGTAGCAATAAGCTCTAAGTAAATAAATGTATTATTAGGTAATATCAAAAAATCATTTTACAAGTTTAAAAAATCACCATAAATAAAATAAAGAGATTTTAAATCAAAATTAAATTATTATTTATTATTAACCAACACATCATTTATTTTTTTTATTGTTTTATATTTTATATTTTAGCAGTTATAGGAATAAATTCAATATAATGGTATACATGTTTTTTTTTATAATAATTTATTGCTTTAATTTTTTTTACTAAAAATCTTGTTATATTTTTAATGTTACAAAATATTATACAATGATTGCACGATTTTCATTAACAGATAACAATAAAATAAGCTTTTCTAAATAACAATCAACAAATCAATACAATTTATCAGCTAAATAATGATACAAAGAAGCTTGATACTATATTACATAACTCCAGACTTTTGACTAAATTAATCAGAATAAATACCCTGTACGTTACAATAATAGCAATGTTCAACATCAAATAATTTTCTAAAACATATAGAAAAAAAAATAACAATAAATACAAAATATAATACTTTATTCGCCTCCCATCGCTACAATTATGTTAGATAGTGCTGTTCTCGCATCACTCTCTTCAAAAACTTCTAACACTTCCATGGCTTTTCGAGAATGTTCTTTTTGCAATTGTTTGGTATAATCTATCCCAGGTCCTTTCATCACGATACTATGTATCTAAAACAAAACATAACATAAAAATATTATACAATAATTATTAACAATATGTTTTACACATAAAAATTATTTAAATTTAACAAAAATAAACTATTGTTTTATGTTATATTAAAAAAAAAAAGACATTGTAAAAGACCTTAAAGTCTGTTAAATAATACCCATACATGTACATAACCTTTAACTATTATACTTTTCTTAAACTAAGAGTGATCTATTAAATAGCTATTGAATTTCTTTGATTTAAATTTATATAAAATATTAAAAGTATTTACATAGTAAAAAATACAATAAACATTAACTTTAGAATAATAAATTGAAATCATACTTTTGCATAGTCAACATCTTGAACAGAATTTACACCCTTGTCGATTTCTTCAAACAACGATGGGTCATGTTCAAGGTGGAACATAACTGGTGCTGATGTTAAATTGAAAGAGATACCCAAGGAATATGGTGAACCAGACATAAATGGTTCTAAATCTAAGTATGCCTAAAAATATAAGTTAAATGTTATTATTACTATACAAACAAATTAACAAGTTATTATAATGTTAAATAATTACATCAAGTGTTACATATCATATTTTATTGTAATTTTTCAATTTGTGACAGTCAGATGATTAAACTTAACAATAAAACATAATTTAAGAGAATTTGAAATTTATTAAAACTGCAATGAATAATAGTATATAACTAATGATATGAAAAGTTATGGAAATGTTATGAAATTAATAAACATTATCTTTATCATTACTTAATAAAACCACATATAAAAATTTTGTTGACCCTCAGATTAGCGTTCACATTTAGTTCATAGAAACAAAAGGCCCCCTGGAACTCATAGGTTAAACCTTGACTCTTATTTTTTATGGAAACAAAAGAATATATGGTGAATATCTGTTCAATAAAATACAAAAATATATTGCAATTTTGATTTTATCATCAAATAACACTATCATTGAAAAGTAATTAATATAAAATTTTTACTAAATATTTATTTTAAATTTATATAATCTGATGTTTATAAAAAATAATAAATACTAAAAAATGTTATATATTTTTTTTTTTTTTTTGAGAAAAAGAGCATTAAGATTACAATAACATACAAGTATATATTGTATTTTTATAGAAAAAGTTATATAATAATTAATTGTGTATATTTTACCTGCCAAGCAAGTGAAAGATGTTTACCAAATAAGAATCCTTGTTTTTGTAACTCTATTCCATGTCCAGCTAAAGCTAATGTGCCTTGACATGATTTGCCTAATAAACTGCCAGCTGATAGAACATTACGTTTAGTCCAGTCTTGAAGAGCAGGTGTTAATGGCATATTTCCTAAAGAATCTGATGGTTCTAAAGGGTCAAGAGGCAACTTGGAATTAAAATGTCGATTAAGTGGTTCAAATGGTGAAGGGAGAGGATTATTTTGGGAATCTCTTCTACCAACAAATTCGGCTTCAGAAAGATCACGTAAAGCACTACTGATTAACTGAACAAGCTTTAAAAAAGAATACAAGCATTAAGGTAATTAAATTTAAATCTGAAGATAAATAAATAAATATTACTTACATCTTGATTCCTGAGAGAGGCAAGTTCTGCACATGAGTTACTAAGTAAATAATCACCACTGAGTAAAGCAATTTTATTTCCAAAAGCCATATCATTGAGTATAACAGGTTCAGGATATAATCCTGGGTATATGTTAACCAAACCGTTGTGTACTAAATGACTTGTACGAATCATTTCGGTAACCTCAGCTAGTGCCCTTTGACTATGTAAAACACCAGCTGCTTTGTCTTCTTCCATTTCATCAACATTTAAATGACCAGCTGCTTTGGAAATTAGTAACACAATTAAACCCCAAGCCTGCATGTTATTCCTGCCATTATACAATAGGCCTCTGTAAAATGAAAATTGATTTAATTTAATTATTTCTGTTTTTAATTATGTACATTTACTTGGCTGTTTTGAGCAGTGGATGATTGGAACCGACCAACTTGCGTAGGTGTAACGCAACATTTGCAATCTCGTCGCTCAGCAGCCATCTGAGGCTAAGAAACGACGTTGGGTAGCCAACGATTTTCTCAGCTTCAGACACTGCACGGTTCCAGTCAGGTTTTTGTTGGTTGCCGTTGTGGACTGCCGTGGCTGAAGAAGCATACGGTCGCTGGTAACAGACGACAGCTGATGCCGAATTCTTCGATATCCTGGGCCATAATAGCCGAAATATTGGAGATGTGCTGTTCATGACGAACGGTGTGGCATTGGACGCGGCGCGCTCACGACGAGCGTGCAGTTATGAAAGAGAAAAGGAGAAAGTGAACCGATTACGAGTGTACACCATGACCAGGTACGATGTGGCCTCAAGGCCGTTGTTTGGTAGCATCGGACAAAATACAAGAAATCATCATATTACTATTAATTAATAACAATAATAAACTAGGCACTATATTATTATGAAATCGTTCATTATAATAATAACAATATACCTAATACTATTATGAACTTTAGAATGAATAGGTAAGTAGTAAGTACTAAGTAGTGAAAAATGTTGAACACTATCACAGTGAATTCACTTATCAGTTATCAGCATACGAGAATATAATGTTTTAATACATTCTACTCACGCTATTAATTCTGTATTTCCCGCCACTGATATTGTTTAATCACGATTCACGGTCGTGATTAAAATTTGCGAGTTCGCCAGTGCGCGACTCTCGAGAGGAAAGTGAGATATTATAAATATTCCATTACCTACCTATGTCTTTTCTACATCACGGTCGACCGATCTGCATTAGTATTTGGTTATTGCCTTCTTGGTTTCTATTATATTATTTTTATCGAAATGAACATTGTCAAATAGGTACCTACATATTTATGTTTTCTAAAAATTCTCATTAAACCACGAAATTACAACTAAAATACAAATTAATCTGGTAAACATGAATTATGGTGAAAACAAGACTATACTTTGTAGGTACACCGTGACCTTTGAAGTATTATTAAAAAAAATGGTTAACTCGTCTCTTATAGTGTCTATATGTCTGAGTAAACCTGATTGAACAAATTAAATACCTACGGTTGATCTTTAAATATTATATTTAGTATGGCTGTTGTGTGTTTTGCTATATTGAAGAGAAATTGTTGCGATTTACGCAATTCTCGCATACCTAGATTAATACTTAGTGTTGCTTTTTAAAAATACTTATCCTGGGCCCGGGTTACTTATTAATAAAATTATTATTATAATTAAGTAGTTCATTAACACATTCAAATGATAAAATATCTAAATTAAACATACTGTTTATAATCATAATGGTCATTAAAATGTCTATATTAGGTATACTAAACGATCTAAACCTATACCAACAATACCTATGCTTTCAATAACATTTATTTATTTTTATAATGCAATTGTTAATAGGTACTTATTTAAACAAAAAAAATAGGTAGGTACCTACAGGTAAATAATCATAGATGTAAAAATTATTTTATATTATTTTAAAATTAAAGAATTAGGATTAAATCGCTTAACCATGAGTCACGGGGGATATATATTATAATTTATAACATTTAGTTAACATCGCCACTTAGCTATTTAAAATGGATATACATTATTACTAGTTATACCTGAAAAACAGCATAGTTACTTATAATTTTGGCAATCCTTACACATGTCATAATTTGTAGAATCGCCAGTATCATGACTAGGTATCATGTCTGTGGGTACAACACGATTGCGAACGTTTTACCTTTTTTATAACACGATTGCGAATGAATAACTCTTATCAGAGAATTTGTTTTTTTAGACGAAAATCGAACGATTGCGAATGTTTTTTTAGACAACGTTGCCAAGTTTATAATTTCTGAATATTTTAAACATTTATTTATTTTTATTTATTTTTAACATTTATTATAAACATTTTTTTTTTTTTTTTTTTAATATAAACTATTGGTATTAATAATACAATTAAAACAATAAGTCTTCGTTACAAACTAAAATAAAATTATACAATTGGTATGTAGCGTTTAAAATGTTGATTAATTAAAACAATTTTCGTTGTATAATTATTAATAATACTGTTACAAAATGTACTTGTTAATTTTACGTTATAGAAACTGAATAAAAAAATAATATAATACATTCAAAATACTAGTTTTAAAAATACACATGTTAGTGTTACGTTTGAAACTGAAAAATAAATAAAATAATACATACATACATACATAGATCTGAGTTCTGAATAAAAAATAAAATAATACATAAACATACATTCAAAATAATAGTTTTTAAACATTTTTTTCTACATTTTTATTATTTTTTTAAATTTTTTCCTTGGTAGAAATTTCCAGTTTTTTTTAAATATAAAATTAAATCCTTGTTGTTTTTATAATCATTATAATTTTGTAGAGTTAATTCAATTTTAGGTTTATTTTTTTTACACATAGGATTATGTACATTGTTTTTAATTGAATTAATTATTGTCAAAGTTTGAGCTTGTGTTTCTTTTAAAACTGATATAACTACGTGTGTTGGAGAATGGGGGCTATAAAACTGACCATTGTACGTCCTATGAAAACTCTCTGGACCATTAGTAGTTCTAAAAAATAATTATAAAAACTTAGAGATTTTGAATTTACTAATAAAATTAACATAGGAGAAAGAATTTAATTTAAAAAATTTTAAAACCATACCTTGGATTTACTGAGGGTTCTTGTGCCCAAAGATATGGTGGAAATAATGAATCAGGTGCAATATATGTTGATACTAAATAGTCTGTAAATACATGAGCTTCTTCTAGGTTAGGGCATTCGGCTATTAATGCTAAAAATGCATCTTCAATTTCGTCACTGGGTAAAAACGGTAAGCCGAAAAATAATTTTAGCCATGGACCTAATTCATTGTTTTTTTCTTTGTATGCATTTCTCAAATTTGAATCTTCATTAATCTGTAGATATTTTATTTCATTAAAAATAATGCTTCAAAGTCGTAAAGAGTATTAATTTATAAATAAGATTAGATTTTGATATTACCTTTCTCCACCAAGCTTGACCTAAATGAAGACGGCATTTATCTATCTTATCGGCATCGCCCCGGCGTGGTGTAATAGCAAAAAACCCTTATATTATTATTATTTGATTATTTTTAAAATTATTATTTAAAAATTTGTTATTGACACCAAATCTGACAACATTGCAAAATTAAAGTCGGGTAAAAACGTTCGCAATCGTGTCACCGGAAAAGGTCCGTTCGCAATCGTTCCATTCGCAATCGTATATTACCCATGTCTGTACCAACAAATATTTTAAATCTATGTATAATTATTATAGAATAACACTTTCCTCAGATTAATATATAATTTAGTTCATAAAAATTATATTTAAAATTTTAAAACCAATAGATAATAGTTTTGGCTTCTTACTTAGTATTCGAATTTCGATTTAATTCTTAAATTTTGGGATGTCATACTAAAACTAAAGTGCATATATCAATAGTGTATTTAACTCGTGATTAATGAATATATTTACAAATATATGTGTGAGTAGAGAGGGTTTGTTTAAAGTGATTTAATGTTAAATGTCAAATTAAAACGTTAAGCATTGAAAAACATTAACTGTTTTTTTTTTCTTAAAGAAATAAACACGGGTGGTATCTCTGTTTTTAAAACTGAAAAATTCCGCTGTTCATGTTGGTTAGCTGATAATTATATTTTATATTACTAAATAAAAACTGTTGGATTTTATATACTATATGCGATGACTTAACTATGTATATATTATACCTTATACATATATATATATATATATATATTCATCATACATACCTATATATGTCATATAATAATATATACATACACATATGCTTAAGGCGCATATTACCAGTTATACACTTTACCACTTTCTATCAGAATCTTCTTCCTGCATAAAACAAGTCTGACGTATTAATATATAATTATTAAATTATTTACGTATTAGTTTGGTCAATCATAATAAACTTAAATACTTAAATATCTGATACCAAAAATTATCTATTTTGATATGCTTTATAAATCTGATTTATTTAATTAAAATGTTCAAATTTTTTCCACGAATGAAATTTTAAACTTTTTTCGGTTACCAAAAAAAAATTGATTTTAATCGTTATAATTTATTTAAAGGTATACATAACTTATTGTAAATTTTATATATAGAGATCTAAAATGTTTAATACGATGTTGATAAAAATATTTTTTATGAGTGTGAACGTACTATTTGTATAAAATGGTTAATTTATAGTGATTTTTTTAGAAAACAATGTTCGACAATCGGCATCATCTAAAACTTGCCTAGAGACTTTCCCTTTATATCCGTAAATACCTATATGATTAGTATAGATAATTTTTTATACTTACTTACTTTGAGTATTATATATTTTAAAATACATTCGTATACTGTTGCTACTTATAGTATTTAGATGCCTACGCATACAGACTACAATTAACTGAAACGATAGTTATAGTTGTACTCATAATATGTATTTTTATTTTAATTTATTTTATGCGTGTTTATATTGTTATGAAAGCGTATAATAATTATTATGAATTGCATTGCACTTGTATCCAAATTTCTATAATAATACGTGGTAAAAAAAATAATAATAACAACGTTAAAACATTTTATTTGCACATATATGTGATGTAAACGTGACTAAAGCATGTTTACACTTTCGCTTTTCAGTTTTATTTTTTGTTAATTATTTTCATATTTTTTTTTTTTTTATTTCATTATTTAAACCACATATACTTTCCCTCCGGTTGTAATTCGATCGGCTGGCGGTCTGACTGACGACATTCGGAAGGATTTAGATCTATATAAAACATAACACGTTATTAGTTCCGCATATAGCGAACACACGCTATAGCTGTAAACATTGTTAGAATCAAAATGTATTTTTACATATCTATAAGTTATAGGTACCTACTACCTAGCAAGAATTTATGAATAGAAGCTTTCATCATTTCTAACGGTAAATATTATTTGGCATTTATGAAAATAATTTCTTAGGACTCTATTTCTATATTATAACTTATTGTATTTTTCTTATATTTTATTATAATATGGGTAAATATTTGTTTAATGTTTATTTCTCAAACTTTTAGTATAATTTACTGAAAACAAATCGATAGAATAACATTGGGTTGTTATATTACGTCTTATATGTAATAAGTTATTACTAATAAATAATAAGTAATAACTCTTGTATATCTGTTCAGTTCCTATAAAATACATTGTAATGTATATAATGTTCTATCTAATTAATTATCAGTGATTATAAGATTCTTACAAAATATTTTCTTAAAAAAAATATTAGATACCTAAGTACTTAATAAAATGTAAAATCGTTCAATATTCAATTAGAAAATAAAAATAAATATAAGTACTAAATATTTTACTAAATATATTACTGTTTGAGTATTTAAAAAAAATATATGTTATTTACGCATTTCCGCATTTATTATAATTTTTGCAGCTATTAATTTATGATTATGATTTTGTTAATTATAATATATAAAAATAATACTTCTTGAAAATAATCCAATTAAATTATTTATGTATTTAAGGAATTTAAATTTATTTCTGATAAATATAATAAGCTAATGATATTAATAAAAATATACTGATAAATTACATTTATTTTATTTTATTCCAAAGAACTTTTTCACAACATACCTATTTTATTTTATTCAGATAATTTTTTCGCGGTTTGTCTCACAAAATAATCAAGCCAAGTAAAAGTGATAGGCACCTACCAGCTATTTTTCTCATACCAACGAATATGAATGACAATCGTTCTAAATAAGGGGGGCTGCATTCTTCATAGTACTACGTTTAAAAAGATTGTTCACAACGGGGAGACAATGGCCTTGAATATATTACAACTGGTCTATAACCTACTTGATGAACGAAACCAGCTTCTTTTATAAAGAACTAAAAACAACGTAAATGATGATCAATTCAAATAGTTTTGTACACATAATATTGTGTTTATTTTCACAATTAATAAATATTTATCAAAAGACAAGGTTAATATTTTTTTATTTTCAAAATGTTGCTAGATTGAATAAAAAAAATATTTTCTTCTTATAAGTTATCATAAAAAATGCATATTTAGCTAACTGTACAATTTGAGTCATTGAAATGTGATGGTAAAGGTATAGTGATACTATGTATAGAAAGTAGGCGAATTGAGAACATTGTTGTAAGTCTACATTGTACATAGTATGAGCTTCATGTGTAATAACTGTATTCCTATTGTACTTGTAATTTGTATGTATCACAAGAAAAAATATATTCAGGTCATGTATATAATGAAAAAATAGTTCATAGGTAGAAATAATATTATAAATGGCGATGTTAAACAAAACTACTATTTCATATAAAATAAACGAGAAAAAGTTAACAAATTTTAAGTTTCCTTTTCAATACCTATTTATTTAGGCATACTTTTATATTATATCATACTCATTACTTATTTAATATATAGGTATTATAAATACCTATGTAATTTTCATGTTTCTAATTTTTTAAATACTTATGTAAATAATTTGTTTTTACTAATATTATGTGTGTTCTATGCCACTCATTTTTGATGTTATGCGTAAAACAAAAATGTTTATGTTATAAACTTATGTTTATTGTATATATGCTGTGACACATACCTTATACAACATGCATAACGAGTTCCAAATAAAATTAAGCAGTTTTGATCAAATGTTACTTAATTTTTAATTGCAAAAATATTACATAATTCCTATCATAAATCATCATGCTTATCCATAAATCATTGGTGCTAATGCCGGAAGAATATATCAAAATACTTTGCCAGTCATCCGCAATTATTAGTGAAATCCTTATGACCTGTCTTTTAGTTGTGTTTAGTATACGAGTATACATTACACTTATCTACTATTTAAACGTCTCTATATAGGATGTTTATTGATGTGTTTTAAGATATTAACTATTTCAACATTTTTAAACTATTCTATTTAATGCATGGATATTATGGAATTATACATTTATGCTTTTCAGATAGTTAAAAAAAATCAAAATTATATTATTTTATTTTGAATATTTTTAAAATACTTATCTCTTCTTTTATTATAAATAATACTTTATCTTAAAAACAAATAGCTAATTAATTTTAAATTTTAATCATTTTAAGTTTAAGGTTATGATGTTGCTTAATAATACAACATATTTTGTTTGTGATGCAAATATAATTATATTTAAGACGTGTATGTCTTACCTATGGTTATTAATTATTATATTATATATAATAATTATTACTCAGGTATTTACTTTCACATTAATACAACAACACTTACAATGAAGTATATCATATTCGACATTCTGAAATGTGTAAACATATTAAAATTTTAAAAATTAATCGATTCATTTAATATTAATATATCTACAATAAAATTATTTTAAGTAAAGTATAAATAAAAAAGATGAAACATGATTTTTTTATCAAAACAATTTTTAATGTATAAATACAAATAAACAGCCATTTATTTAAAACTTAAATTTTAGACAAAATTTAATAAGTTTGAAAAAAGTTATTGAATAATTTCGAAAACGGAACAAACACTAAGTACTTAAAATACTGTAATCGTAAATCAAGGATAGTTAAAATACACTTTATAAATATCAAAAATTGATAAAGTTAAGAAATTAATATAAAATAATTTAAATTAGAAAAGTAGAAAATTACTAAAGTAATGGAAAATTTCAAAATAAAATTTAATGATAGATGTTTTAAAAGTAATTATTCTAATAAATAATAAGGTGTAAACATACAACATTCTATAAAATGTATAACTACAATTAAAATTTGTACAGCTCATGTTTATGTAGGTATTATAAAATTTAGTATACCTATAACTATAGTCTATAGTTATATTTTATATTATTTTCCACAGATGTTCAAAAAATTTGAGTCAGTTTTAGAATACCTTATTCGCGGTCCATAGCAACAATTATGTTAGATAATGCTGTTTTGGCATCACTCTCTTCGAAAACGTTCAACATTTCCATAGCTTTTTCTGAGTGCTCCTTTTGTAATTGTTTTGTGTAATTAATTCCTGGACCTTTAATCACAACATCATGTACCTAGTGGTTTAATATATAATACATTAAAAATGTTGATTGAAATACATAAATCAAAGTACCTAGTCATATATTATTGTAAATCGTAATTTTTTTTTAATTCGTAAATATATGCGGCTAATATGTAGTATTAGTTATTTATTATTACTAATAATATGCTGTATGAAGCACATAATAATAATTTCAATGTTTTGAGGTGAAAATCAAAGTATCATAGACTATGGTTATAAAATATATAATAGTGTGTGTAATACAATGTATTCCTAAGTTCTAAAATGGTTTAAACTGTTTATATGTTTGATTATACTTACAATAAATTAAATGACCATTAAAAATACATGCGTAGTTTTATCAACAATTAAAGTAGGTAAAAATAAAACAAGTTGTTACAGTTATACTCTGTATATAGGAAAAATTGTAGCATGTAATATATTTTTTTAGCTTTAAAGTAAAAATACCTAGTATAGTGTATACATACTTTAATAGTTTAAATCTATTTATGTTTAAATATAAAAAAATATATAAATAAAACAAAATAAAATGAAATGTTTTGAATTTTATTACAATAAATCAAACACTTTTAAACGACTGACAAAAAATATGTTAAACTGGTTGTAAGTTGGAGTTTAAAAATTGTTTTTTTTTTTTATATATATAATGATATATACTGTTATTTGCTCTATTCGAAAATTAAAAAGAAATAACTACGAAGAAAACGTTTGGTTAACTTTTCCTCGATATAAATATACCTATATTAATTATTAATAAACTAAAAATTTCTATAGTATTTAAAAAAAAGTTATTAAGTTATAATAGTAAAAAAAGTTAGTTATAATGACTTTTTTTTTACACTAAAACACATACTTCAGACATCAATCTTTTAAGTCTAAAGTCACACAACATGTAATTTTAACTACCTATTAAATTCTTCAAAATGTGTACACTTTATTATTGATTAACCTAATTTAACAAATATTAATTATCAATAAATATCTATTTTATTTATTTTATTTTAATAGTAGGTATTAGGTACGTTTTGATGATTATATTTAGTACATAATATTATACATTATATTATGTAGGTACTACATAGGCCACATAACTTACACATGCGTGCAATTTTAATTTATATAATATTATCTTAGGACACTTAGGCTATCAAGTAATCTTAAAACAATAATTTATTGTCTTTTATATGCTGACTTATGGATATAATTTTATCTTTTCACAATATTTTTTTTTTTTATCAATATTGATAATATTTTATGAATTTGATTTGTGATTATATATTATATTGTTTATTTATTACCTATATTAAATTATAATTTTATTTTCATTTTCACTAATTATATAATACATTTGTCAAGCCATTAATAATGTTTAAATATTTATTTTTTTTTTAATGTGTCCTAAATCTTAATTTTTCGTAAAACTAATATTTTATGAAAGTATAATCTTTGTTTTATCTATGTTATCAGTATTTTTTGTATATGTGTAGATTTCACATCTTAGATCACACTTTAAGATTTTTATATTTTTTTTTTTGTTAATATTTAGCTGGTACGCCTATTTATCAAACTTCTATGCATTAGTGATCATTCTAAAAATGATAGGATTGAAAAAAAATATCTACATATTTGTTCATTTATAAATGCTATACAAATATGTTTATTGTGATTAATAATTACGTGAAATAGTTAAAAATTACTACTTGTGTTAAATAAATTATAATATTTTTAATTAATTCCAGAAATATACTAACTGTTTAATATAAAACAGAGAATGATAGATATTAAAATATGGTTGATAGGTAATTGTTATGTTTTATAATATTTTTTATATAAAATTATATTACGCAGATACCTACGCCTGGTTGAATGTTAATTTTGAATGATAATATAAGTTATTTCATAGAATATTTAGTGGTTTATTTAATTTAATAAATGCAAGTAGGTACCTAATTAATATTTTTCATTTTTAGTTTAAAAACAAAACAAAATATGAGCACATAGTTGAGTTGAATTAAAATAAAAAATATTTAAATTATAATAGAAAAATTCATAACATGTTATTTGTTTAAATTATAATAATAGATTACTATATACTCGCATTAGTTGATAATATAATTTGTATGTACGAGTAGAGCGCCTGTTACTTAGAATATAATATTAATATAATTTTACTCCTATTACTTTGTTGTACTTTAATATGTTTAAGTAATTTTGTATTTAATAAAATTAATACTATATGGAAAATTTACTTTGACATAGTCGACGTCTTGAATTGAATTAATGCCCTTGTCAATTTCTTTAAATAATGACGAATCATGTTCGAGGTGGAATATAACTGGTGCTGAAGTGAGGTTGAAAGACATTCCCAATGAGTACATTGAACCAGACAAAAATGGTTCCAAATCTAAATATGCCTAAAAAAAAAAATCATACACGAACTTTTAATACTTATAAGTAATAAGTTATATTATCGTTTTTTTTTAAAAGAGACAAAATAGATAACTGTTTTAAGTTTTTCTGTACACTATACAGTAAGTATCTTATGAGTGTACCTCGTTATCGTGTCTACATCATTGTGATGTATGTGTTAAATTTGAATTCAATGATAAATCGTTCGATTACTGTATACGATAGCCGATTTCATACTAATTTATACTTATTAATACTGAGTTACACGCTTATTCAAGTGCAACTTAAAAAATATAATTTTGACGTCCTACTCTGTACCTATTTACTGTCAGGTAAACTTTATACATATTATTAAGTATTGTTTATTAAACTGTTAATTCTATGAGGTTTTATTTAATTCATTGGCGTGTATATAAAACATTTACAGTTTTCAAATGTTATGCACGCTTTGAGAAGGCCACAGTCGGTGTTGAACAACGTCCAATTGGCAATTAAACGCATATTTTATACGTAACGAATTTACCTTTAAACTCGATTGTTAAAGTTTATCGAGATAACCATAAACTAACGAAACGTAAACTCGAAGCGTTGAACGTAAATCGTTCGCTTTACGTGCGGCCCAAAGACAAAATCGATTATAATAAACACGAACGTGACATACACTCTCGACAGAACATTTCGAGTGGTGGTTGCATTCAAGCCACAAGTAGTTTACCTGCCAGGCTAGCGACAAGTGTTTACCGAACAAAAAGCCCTGTTTCTGTAGCTGCTCGCCGTGGCCGGCCAATAGGAGCGCGCCTTGACAAGATTTTCCCAGCAGGCTGCCCACTGACAGTACGTTGCGCCTGGTCCAGTCGTGCAGGGCGGGCGTGAGTGGCAAGTCGCCCTGCAGTCGTTCGGACGATGACTGGAGCGGGTTGAACCGCAGCCGAGTCAAGTCGTGCACACGGTCGAGCGGTTCGAACGGTGACGGCAGTGGATTGTTTTGCGAATCTCTGCGGCCCAAAAACTCGGCCTCGGACAGGTCGCGTAGGGCGCTGCTGATCAGTTCCATGAGCTTAAGGCGAAACAAAACAATTGTCATTATATAAAAGCCATACCTATACATAGCGATATTATTTTGATGTTTTTATGTTGCAGACAAATAAAAAAAAAACGAGTGCACGTATACCACGATAAGTTCACTTTTTTTATTCCAAAAACTATATACTTAAAGTATCCTTTTTAAAAAAAAAAAAAAAAAAATGTAAATTTGAAGTCTGTCAATTTATAATAATAATAAATGCTCTCAATTATTTTTTAGTTATTATTACTTTAAAATGATTATTGACATTTATTATAATAAAAAAAAATAGCCATTAAAATTATTTTAAATTCAATGAAACTTGCTAAATCTATAAAAGTATTTTTGAATAATCTTATGACTTGTAATAAAATGGCGAGTCGACTGTGCAGTCGAAATTATATTTAACGATATAACTACATTGTAACATGGTAATTACGGCCGTAGCCGTTAAGTCAAAAACTATGCTGGCTTAATTTTTTGTGTTGGGGATCGGTTTTTTCTTCTAGTTTTCTAGTGTTGTGGTCTGAAAACGATTTTCACGGTTTTACACGCAACAAATTAAACATATTTTCTTTTACGGAATTACTCACGTTTTGATTTTTGAGCATCGACAGTTCGTTGAAAGAATTGGCCAGGAGATAGTCGCCGCTGAGCAAGCCGATTTTGTTACCGAAACTCATGTCATTGTGGTCGATAGGTTCCGAGGATATTTCCGGACATATATTTATGAGACCATTGTGCATCAGATGGCTAGTTCGGATCATTTCTGCGATCTCAGCTAATGCCCTCTGACTGCGCAATACGCCCGACTTATCTTCGTCCGCTGAGCTATCCACGTTCGTATGACCGGCTGCTTTGGATACGAGTAACACGATCAGCCCCCAAGCTTGCATGGTATTCTGGCCTTTATTTAGCAACCCTCTATGTGTAAGTATGACAATTATAAGTAGGTTATTATAATATTATACTAAAACGTATAAACATTATACAATAACAAATTAACAGTGGCCTGGCGCCGCCCGTCGGTTGGCCTCAGTCACTAATATGTTCTGAGGTCAAGCACCGGCTGGCATCGCTATAGCTCTCGGATGGGTGACCACCCAAATTCTCGGTGATGAATTCATAACGCTCACACATACACACAACACACACGTGTTCTAACCCTCTACTAAATAAACCTTACACAATAAAATAACCTACTGTTCTTATCCATAGTTAATGGCCTTAGTTACCGGGCTTAATTAAGATAAATAATGAAAAAAAAAAATAAATAAATAAATTGACAGCATTCAACAACGCTGTAGTTTGCTTCCAATACTATCGTTGTTCTATAATTAAATCTATCAGGTCACTTATTCTCTTTTCATATATTTTACTCAAACCTATCACATACTGGTTTTATTTGATATTTTAATTTTTAAGATAAATATTCAATGATGAATCGGTATTGAAATTGTATTATTTAGAAAATAATATTTTAAAGGTTTATTTTAGATACGTCCTTAATCCTTATACCTGCAGTTAAGTGAACGGCTAATATTATAGTATTTTGATTTGTTACTATATGAGTCGTACCTCAATTATTATAGTAATATCGATTTTATTTACATATAAACATATTATACGATTTATTGTACACAACTAATAGATTTATCATTATAACTAGGACCTGAATTATATACACTAAAAACGTACTAAATATGCATACATTTATGCACTGAGTATCGTTTAAATATGCGCTCTAAATATGCAAAAATATGTAAAATAAAACTTTATATTATTAGGATCTATTGACTACAAATCAAACTTGTAGCTTACCTAGCTATTTTTCAGACTATTTAGAGAAAACAAGCAAATGCATATAAATCCGGGCCCTAATTGTAACTATTGGAAGATTGTCTTACATAATCCTGTATCGCGTTAAGTTATTAATGTAATATGAAGAACGTCGAACAGATACGTGTGACGAATATGAAAAAATAAGATTATAAAATGTATAGTTAATATGGAATAGTTTTAACGGAGATGAATAATAATATTATCAAAAAAAAAAAAAAAAACGGTCGAGAAAGGTTATCTATAGGTAGGTACTTAAATTATATATTTAAATTATTACGAATCGCGGTAAAATAAACTTCAAACCATAAAAAGCCAAAAAGTCTATTAACCTTACTATATATAGAAGTAATTTAATTAAAAACAATATATATTCATAACAATTTATAATCAATGGATCATGTTCCAAACAAAAAAGTTGAATTATTCATACAAAAAAATATGTACAAAATGATCTATTTAAGTGTCTATATTCATCATTTTGAAAAATTTTAACTTTTTTGATAATATTTCTTCTACGTAATTTAATGTCATTTCAAAACAAATTTTTGGAAAAAAATTATATACTCATCATCATTATTACTTTTTAACTTATTATTCCGAAGCAGAATATTTTTTAAAATTTTTTGATACTAATTATATTTTTAAATGAGTGTTAAATTACTAGGTAGGTAGTTATTTTTTTATAAGTGATAAAAGTACAGACTATAGTCAAAAAGTGAACAGTAAATGACTATTCGGTTTAAGTAGTTATGCGAGTGGTCGGTTGGAGGAAGTCAGGAATATCAGATTATAACTTCTGAAAATTTTCAAGTTCGCCATGTTCCTGGGTATATCTGCAATCTGCATGCAGGTGAAGACGTATTACGCCGAAGTAAGGTTTATGCACTCACTTAACTGTCTTCAGTAGCGGGTGATTGGAGTTGACCATGCGGCGTAGGTGCAGCGCGATGTTGGATATCTCGTCGCTGAACAGCCATCTGAGACTCAGGAACGACGACGGATAGCCAACAATTTTCTCTGCTTCGGATACCGCACGATCCCAATTGGGTTTCTGCAGCCGATGGTTGCTGTTGAGCTGGGTCGTCGCAGTGATTGCCAACGACGATGTGTTAAGTTGCGGCGGCAGTCTATCGCCAGGACTACGGAAGCAGACGGCCGGTCCGTTTCGCAGCATCCGGATTGCCGTCGGCGACCGTGTGATCTTCATAGCGGCAGTTGGTTCAATATTTTTGACGAGTTTACTCGCTGGTCGATTTTTCCGATGTGTAAGACTGCACGCGCAGTGTACTATAATAGTTGAGTAACCAGCGAAAACCACAGGCCAAGAGTGAATACATAAATCGTTAGATTTTGAAGAAATTTTTTATTAGCTGTTCGATTAATTGATATATTTTATAGATAGGTAAGTAATAACTAATATGCGATCACCGGTACACTAAACGATTTATATATTTTCTACGTATGACGTTAAACGAACTTTTAAACGATTTTAATTTGTTAAAATTATTATTTACCTTGTATATTTTTGTCACGTTTTTGTTTATTTTTATAATTTGTTGTGCTCTACTTCTCTACAACACAATCAGCACTGTCACTATTCGGGTCTTTAGTTTTTCTGTGCTCGTTGATTTTATTTTCAGTTATCTCGAAATAAATTATGTATATGATCATAATTTTAGTCAAGATTATTTATTTTTGCGTTACGTTAACATTCCATGACTAATCAACTGAAAGATTATAGCTTTGACCTAAAGATTTATAAGTCGGTTTATCTTCAGATTTAATGATTTTTATTTTATCTATAATTTTCCTTTGTCAATTTAAACTGTTTTTAATGAATCGTTATTTAAAATAATAACATTGTACTTCTAGGCTATAATATATAGTAAAGATAAATTATAAATACGAAATAAATCATATTAAAAATAATATGTTTCAAATTTATATCAAAGTATACTACATTTTTCTTAATTTACAATTTTTAATCGCTTAATTTGATGATGAGATGTATTATGATTTATGAATTATAAAAAAACATTATATTAAGTATTTAAAATTAGTAGGTAGTATGTATATATTTATGAGTAGAGTACAGATTTTAATTGTAATAAAAAACTAAAGAAAAGCACTAAAAAAAGCAATAAAGCTGTTTAAAGCTTCTAAAAAAGTTTAAAAAAATATTGAAAATGGGTTTAAAATAAAAATAAACATATTTAACATAAAAAAGTATTAAAATTATTTAAAAAAAATTTTGTTACTGACAATCTGTAAGGATAACGAATTATAAGGTATTATAACAAAAACTAAACTGTAATTCTGAATAGACAATTTCGAAAGAGCATATTTTTGTGTTTATTGTCGTTTCAAAATAAGTTAATTTACTATGTATCATGCTGTACGTAACAAACTGAACACACGAGGAAAGGTTGTTAAGAAATGATTGAACAAGTAGGTACTTAGGTACTTTTAATACATGCAATATCATTATCTAAATTACATCGATAAATATATCCATGAATCAAACATAACGAGATAAAATCGATTGAGCCAGTCATGACCTTAGAATACATCATATAATATAAAAATAAATATTAACATTTTAAATACGTTTTTTTAGAACATATTTTGAAAAAATATAACTTAAAAACAAAAAAAAAAAAATTCCCAAAATACCCCAAAAAGCATAAATATACAGAAAACACAAAAAAACAAAATAAAATGTCATGCATTTTATTTTAAGTATGTAGTATAAATCAAATTTGTAGTTGACATAGCTTTATTAGAGCAATAGAAAAATAGCAAATGTCATCAAAATCCGTACTCTATGAATTATACAGGTAGCATAATATTATAGATACTCATAAAAAATTTTTTTTTAATTTCTAGCAGTTATAAAAAAAAACATTGAAAAACGCAAAGAAACAATTTCCATGCGATAATTTACAACGATGTTGCTTTCAAATTAAAATATATCTATCTTAGTAGGTAGTAGGTACCTAGCTGAGTAAATAGCCCATTAAACTCTAGTGCGTCATCATTATTTTATAAATTATGAGTACAAATTTTTAAGTTTTATGGATAAATTCATTATTAATTATTGTAAATCATCAATAATGAATAAATTGTATTGAATGTACACATTTAAACAAAATATTATTGTGATGTTAAATTTGATTTGTCCTGCGTTTTAATACAGTGGACTGACTGGACTGTTATGATTACGCTACTTAAAATTTGTTATCGATAGAATTATCGTTTAATTGTTTTATAATTATAAATATTTTAAATTAATCATCAATACTGATGTACTATGAAATAAGTAGTGTAATTTAGGATCATAAACTGTTATAACGTTGTTCAAAACATGTTACATAAAATGACTAAAAAAAAAAAATGCGTTTTGTGATATACATGCGTACAGAGTGGTTATAGCGAAAGTGTATAAAAAAGATTAGAAAACATGACCATCGTAGTTCGTCCGTAGTTCTACGGATCCAAATTTTCACATAATAGAATCTGAAAAATAGTAACTAATTGAGTCCAAACAAAAAAAATAAATATTCTTTCCACTTCACAAACTTAAGGTTATCGTGTTAGTACATAATACGGCAAATCATTAAAATAGGTAGTTATCAAAATTATTAGAGTATTAAATGCTAAAATAATAATAATTAATTAAATACATATAGGTACTATGTTTTAACTTTTTTTTATTAATTATCATTGTTACTATAAATATCTCATAACTCATATTATTATACTCAGTTTATGAATGAATAGTTCTAGGGTAAGATACAGTTAAAAAAAAAACCGTACCTCTCATTTTACTAAGCGAATTATTTTTGCCCTCTTTGAGCGATTGAGAATAAATATTATAATATTTATAACCATAGTTACAGATTGCTTATAGATTTGGTATACAAATTTATAATTATTTTCTCAAATATTAGATTAAAATATCATAATATTATGTCTGTGAAAAAGCCTTTATGATAAGCACAGTAAACTCAAAATATAACGCAGTTAGATCTATTATTTATTTATTTATTAGGAATAAAGGTTTCAACTATTACTTATTAATTTATTAGCTTATATTTACATTAGAGATGCATTTTTTTTTTTTTTTTTATATCTTTAATTATTTACTAATAATAAATTAAGAATTGTGATTTGTAAATTAATTTTTTTTAAAACTTAATAGAATACTAGGTATAAGCATTTTAAACATAATATTTAATTATATATATATATTTTTAAAATTAGTTTCAAGTAATAAACTATTACAGCTCAACAATTAGAGAACAACTTAAGAATAGTAACATAGCATATTAATTTATAGATATTGAAATTAAATTTTGAATATGGAAAGTGACGTGAACATAATAATTTAAACAGTGATAAAATATAGATACCGATAACATATTTAGTTGTATATGATTTTAATGAGATAAAACAAATTTGGACTGAATCAGTTAATTATATTTATTATTATAAAATTTGATATACAATTATACATTAAATTATTTGATTATTATAAATTATAAGTACCAGCATGCATAATATTTTTATTTAGTGTTTAAGCAGGCAAGTTAATAAATTATCTTGAGTTGTAATTGGTTATTACCAACTTTACTACGAAAATTCACATTATTCTATGGTATATGATTCTGACTTAGGTTAAGTTTAATTTACATTAGGAACACTAATGTTTTATATAATATTACAATAATAATTAATATAATTTATGCAGTGTTTTTGGATAAAATAAATTCAGCATACTGTAATACTTATTAGTACCTAACAAAATACATTTTTAATACATATTTAAAACGAACTAACTATAAAATATTCTTAGAAAAAGAAATTAATATATCACTTATATTCAGAATCATTTTTTGTATGTAATTGAATTCAAATTTAACACATCTATTATTGTGACCTATTCAATGCAAGGACCACTCAAAACTTACTATATAGCAGTTATCTTTTCTGATTATCATTAATTTCAAAATTAAAATGTAAATACTAATTTTGAATTTTGAGTCTAGTTTCTTTAGGATTCTCTTAGATTAGTTGCAGCCTTATTCGCAAGTAAATAGATGCTATGCAGGAATACCTAAGATGGTTATAATAAAATTAAGCATTTTTATTATACAAGATTATACTTGTAATTTGCAACATTGAAAATAAAAATATAATAAGGACATAAAAAAATATAAGCAAAATATGAAAAAAAAACTTTAATACAATGTAATACACGTAATATAAACAATTTATTTATCATAATACATAAAATACTGTCATAGTTTAAAAAAGTAGTATTGATCAGTAAATGTTTATACAATTACAGTAATAGAAAGTAAAATAAATTACATTATAATCAATTATTTTTTGACACAAAATATTAGTATAACAGAAATTATTTGTTCGAGAATGATAAAATTAAGAGATCAGATGTATACAAATGTAAATATTCATAAATATTATAAACACTACAGTTTCAGTAAAATCAGAAAATACAATTTTAAATAAATTTATCACATAATGCGATGTGTATTCATAGATTGACATTTTAATTATTAAATGGGTAGAAGATAACTTTAAGAAAATAAAGATGTATTTATAAAAAATTATTGTAATATTTTAAACAAAGAACTATCAACCACCCATTTTAGTTATAAATAAAAACATACAAATTACATAAACAAAAAACATCTACATAAATTAAATTTAAGAATAAACTAAAATTATAAAGAAAAAATATTACTGAACATGAAACATAAAGTCAATAATATCAATAATATGCTTTTTTTTATTTTTAACACTTTTAACCGTGTTATACATACATAATGAATATATTTATTAAAGTTCATATTTTCTCAGTGTTTTATTAAGTCAGATTGAATTTTTTAAAATAAATAAATTTAGCAAATTAAAAAAACCATGAACTTTAGCTAATACAATATAAAAATAACAGTACAATCTCAAAAAAAAAAAAAAAAAAATAAATAAATAAACATATCATATTCAAAAAGCAGAGCTTGTATGTTTGTGTTAAAGATATGATATGATGAAATATACCAAATAGTTATAGTATATTAGTATCCAAAAGTTGTAGTTAGAATAATTATTGAATCAATAATCACATAGTGATTTATATTTTTTTTAATTTTCTAGTAAACAGAACAATTTAAATATGAAAATAAACAAAATGAGTAAAAAAAAAAAATTACGTTAATTAGAAGACATTCCTGTTTATCACAGATTATTATTTTTCTTATTAGTACAAGAATACACAATCCGTATAATGAATTTTATTAGACTGATATTACAAGATGCATGTCTCTTACGGAAATTTTTAAATTAATACAGTTTTTTATATTTAGGGAAATAAGTGTTTAGGGAATGTGGGTTGAATCACATTTATGTAAATGACACTATTTATTACAAATAGTAATAGTTTGAAAAATAATACTTAGAACTGCGCATTGAAGTAATTTTTGTCAACTAGTTAAAAATAACTAACTTTAACATAAATTCTAATCAACTTAGATAAAATATTAGATCTTGAAATGTTACTTAGCTAGAAGTTAGTGAGTGAAAATAATAACTTAAGTTAGAAGTTACTTTTTTTATAATTTAAATATCTGTTTCTTAAAATATTAAGTGTAACTTTAAATTAATAATTAGGTACTAAATATTTATAACTATAGCTTTGGATTAAACTATGTATTACAAAAAATATAGGGATTGATAAAAAATGTATATATTTTAACAAA